AAAGCTTCTGGACTTTCTTAAGTTGCTTGAAGACGTTTCACCTCTCATCCGAGAAGGTTCTTCAGTTCTAAGGTCAAATGGTGGAGAGTCCCAGATTTAAGTCCAGTGGCACATGAGCCAAGGTGGGAAACTGGGCGTGGGTCCCAATCAGCCAGAGTTTCGGGTGTGTTCATTGTGAAACCTGGCCCCACCTTATCATGTGATTTCCTGAGGACAGATGGCCCAGGATGTGAGTGGGCATTAAGGCGTCTGGGAGGGATCTCAAAACTGGAGATAGATGGCAGAGAGTTGGTGTCGTAAACCACCGCCTCTGTTCAAAGATGGTCGCTCACAGTGGACGTAAATGGTTTCTTTCACTCCTCTTTCAAACCATCTGTCCTCTCTGTCCAAAATGTGAACATTGGCATCCTCAAAAGAGAGGATCCTCTTTTGAGAATTTCTAAGCTCCTTAGACTTTGTGTTTCCTTGTTAATAAACACTGATTGTTCATTCCTCCTGCCTTCATGTTTTATATTTCCTTCCTCGCAGCTGCTTTATGATTTATGTCAATGTGACTGGGACAGTTCTCACATACTAATATTCTTCCAACAGATGACCTGAGGATCGTGCTGTTTGGGAAGACCAGGGTTGGTAAAAGTACTCTAGGAAACATCATCATGGGGAACACAGAGACTTTCACCTCAAAGGATTCGTCCAAAGATCGCACACAGAAATCCCACAGCACTGTGGAAGGTCAAAAAGTGGCTGTTGTTGATACTCCAGGTCTGTTTAAACCTGGAAAACATGAAGATGAGCTGGTGAACGAGATCAAGCGATCCATTGATCTTGCCAGTCCTGGTCCTCATGTGTTCCTGCTGGTGCTGAGGTTCGGTATGATCACCTCTGAAGAATTAGAGGTACTGGAGGTTTTTGTGCGCACCTTTGGCAGACGTGCATTGGCCTACACAACAGTGGTGTTCACCCATAGAAATGAAGATGAAGACTATGAAGCTAACATACAGGAGGCTATGATCGAGAGTAAGGATTTCAGAGAACTCATTGAGCAGTGCCAGTGGAGATATTTTGCTTTTAACATTGAAGACAAAAGTCCTGCTCAGGTCACCGAGCTGCTGAAGAAGATAACACCGATGGGAAAAGATTACTTCTACACTCCTGACATGCTCCAAGAGGCTGGAAAACCGGACGAGCAGGACGAAAAACCAAAAACAGCAGAAACAACAGGCAGGCGTGCGCTTCTGGAAAGGACTGGATTGGTGGGAATCATTTTGGGATCTGTGGGGGGATATTTACTTGGAGGTGGTGAGCTGACGTCTACATCGGGAGCTTTACTGGGAGCTTTAGGGGGTTCAGTACTGTCGATGGGAACAACAGCTTTAGCGATGAAGGCCAAAATGCTCACTGAGAAATGCTGCAAAAAGTGAGTTTTTAGTCCTACTGGGGGATTTTGATTTAGTTAAGCTCTTCAAACTGAGTTAACCACATCTAATTTTCATATTTCAGGAAGGGTTTTTAAGACAGAGTCAGTGGTTTGCAGAGTAGTTTACAGTGAAATAAGTACTAACTACCATGGGCGCTTCGGTGTTGGTGGAGGGGAGGGCAACACGATTACTGGATACTTTCATTACTGGGAAACAAACCTAAAACAGAACATCACTTTCCTTTTGGAAGCAGGTTTCCACCTGATGAAAGTACCACTCACAGGAGACAATGTCTCATAATAATGACTCATGTCAGGTGTGAATATATCACAGGAAGTGGACAGTCTGGAAACCTGACCAGAACCAGATGTTTAGCTGTGTTGGAGCATCTAAAAGAAAGTCTGTGAGGCGCTCAGCAGAGAGTGATGAGGAGGAGAACGACCGCGGTGTTTGGATCTGCTGCTGACGTCTCAGAGCTCGATTGTACGAGTTTCCAAAAGCAGCTGAATGAATGGAGGCTCTGAGCTCCACGCTGTGGGACTCCACCACCACCCTGCCAGATGGGAGCTTTTTGTACATGAACACATCATCATTGTACATTATTAGATACAACTGAACATTCACCAGGTCACCAGAGTTTAGGGTTCAGGTTTTGTATGAGCCACATGTTAATAAAAAACTAGATGTTAGATTCAGATGATGTTTCTAATATTTTGGCTTTACGATGTTTCCTCTTGTGAGTCTGAAACAACTGAAACAGGATAAAAACAGGTGAAGCCCAACTCTGGATCTGCTGCAGTGACCTGCTGGATGCTAAGTGAACTTTTATCTTCATTAACCTGTGACTGCTTTCACATCCAGTGGTGATCTGTGAGATAACACACAGTCTTTAAATGTCTTTTTGTGTGTTGGACAGATCGGTAATCTATCAGTTTGATCAGGTTAGATCCTGCTGGCCGTCACAGACTCTGTTCTACATTCATACAGTTTGTTCTCATTTTAAAGGATTTTTGGGTTTCAGGGTTTTCTTGTGTTTGTTCTCCTGGATAAACTCCATGTTCTCACTTTAGGAGTTTCTACAGGACTGTTTCCTGATACAAATGCAAATGTGTGCTTCAGCTTCAGTGCAGACGGTTTTCACATGTTTGTGGATGGAAACACTTCGGTGTCTTAAACCTGTATATAGATATATATGATATATATTGTTTTCGTGCCTGAACTTGTATAGAAATATATAATCCATTACCTATACTCTAATATGTAATATGCACTCTTATGGCAATGCTAATTTTACTCATACTGTGGTCGCTCGCTATAACACGGTTCACCTTTCGCGGCCTCGCTGTTTCGCTGATTTTTTGTGTGCAATTTTGCATAATTTTTTTTGTATCATTGTGTTCTGCGTCCTGATCGACTGTAGACCATTGTCCATCTCCTCCGTGCCCTCTCTCCTGTACAGTACAGAATCACTACATCGATCCTTAGCAGTGTGACTCTGAAGTGCAGTACTGACGTTTTCTCCATGCCTTGCAAGGCACCTGCGGTAGCACTCAAGAGGCAGAGGAAGATGCTAACCATCACACAAAAAGTTGGACTTCTGGACATGCTAAAGCAAGGTAGAAGTTACCGTATTTTTTGGATTATAAGGCGCATTAAGCAAAACAAATCAAAACAAGTCAAACTTTACTGAACTCATTCTTCTTGCGTCCTCCACTTCTGTTTTAGCTGTTTTTTAAAAGCCACCACAGATCCACAGATCTCAGGCTCAAAGGGAGAGACTTCCACAGTCTGGGGGCCACAGTTACAAAACCTCTGTCGCCTTTTGTTTTCAGCCTCGTGTGTTGGACAACCAGCAAGCCCTGATCACATGACCTCAGGGACCTGCTGGGAATGTATGGACGTTCACTGATATATGTTGGTGCTTGTCTATGCAGAGCCCTGAAAGTCAAGGTCAAAACCTAAATATGATGGTCCACAGTATCAAAGGCAGAGGGCCAGACACATGCTGTGTAAAAAGAAAAGAATCCATGACTCTAAGGAAACCTCTGCCAAACAGGTCAGAGTCATCATCAGTGTGTATATTAAAATCCTCGACTATAACCAGTCTGGACAGCTTCAAAGTCGAGGATAAAAAGTCGCTGAACTTTAAAAACATGCTGTTCAGGCCAGGTGGACGATACACTACAGCGCTTTATTTCCAATTTTAACCAGCTGTAGTTCAAACGATGAAAAGTGTTGACAGAAACGTTTCAGGGATTTTCAGTCATTCTGCACACCAGATGGGTTAATAGTGTTAAAAATGTTAATCGCATTGACCGTGATGGCGGATTAATTTGCATTATCGCATTAATTTTGACAGCACTAACTAGAAACTGCAGACCATGAGGAGTTCTATGGGGAATTCATATTATATAATAATTATACACATGTAATCCAGTATTTGTACTCTTGTATCAGTATATGTTAGAGCATGTTCTGTAGTCCAGAGCATGAGCACATATAACACAGTCACATCTGTCCTGATGTGAACCCACAGGCTCGTGCTGAGGAGTTTGGTAAACAGTCTAAATGATGTCTGACTGTTATTGTTATTGTGTGTTGTATTAAGTACCAGCTCTGCTTTGGATTTTGTGCCTGAACTTGTTGTGCAGGAAGTCCTGACCTTGTTCCTTTGAGCAGCAAACACATGTGAACATGCAGACAGACAGTGGGACGTGTCTGCAGACGTCTCCCTGTGTTAGCAGAGGAACATGTCCGTCTCATAGATGGACCGAGATCAGAGATGTGGAGACAGGAAATGTGGTTGCTAAGTGGTTGCTATGGGCACTGATGTGGTATAAAACAGGCCGATGAAGAAATCAGGGTCTGGTTAATTCAGTGACTCCAGGTTGTTGTGTTCTCTCTGCTCAGGTCACACACCTTTCTGCTGATATGGAGGAGCAGTGGTGCTACTCTCAGTCCCTCCCAAACCCCCTCATCCCGTCTCAGACGGCCTTTCAGTCACTACTGTGTCTGTGACCAAAGGTGAACGTAGATGAACAGCAAGCTCTCTGTTCAACAGACCAGCACAGCATTGCTGCAGATTAACTTGTTTGGTTGTGAAGGGCTGCAGTCTTCCTCATTTAGCTCCAGTTTGGTGTAATAGCTAAAGTGTGACTGTGAGCTGCTGACACGGCTCTGGGTTAGCGTGCAGTCAGGTGAGTGAACATCGTCTCAGCAGTTTTCAGATTAACTGACATGTTTTCATTCTGGTTTGGACACAAAATCCAAAACAACATCATTTTATTATCATACAACATATATATCCATGTGCGGATCACATGTGGTTTGGATATAGCCGTACACAGTCAGGCACAGTGCGAGACATTAAAATGTGCTGTTGTGTGTGAACTTTAGCTCACAGCAAACACGACTGTGAGGCCTGGAATCCACATCTGTATTAGTGAGGGTGAGATTAAGCAATCCACCAGAATCATTCATGGTTTTGCAGTGTGTGTAAACTGCAAAACCAGCTGCTGCACTAAAATGAGTGAATTTAGAGTTAAACTCATGAATAAGACAAAGAAACCACACGCAGGAATGGCTCGCTTACGAGGAAGTTTAATCATTGTGACCTCAGGTGTCAAGTTCGGTGAAACGCTGCCCTCTGCTGCTCACAGCAGGAAGCACAGCCTCCAGCTTCAGCCTGTCAGGACTGGAAAAGCAGCCCTGACAGCAGGTCTGACCAGACACCATGAGTCACTGGTTAGCCTGGGTGCTGCTGGTGTGGTTGAGGTTATGGTGAAGCTCTGTGGACGGCCTTCTGTCCAGCATCCTCTGTCTTCAGGGTGATTTTCATCATCTGGATGCTGTGGTTGCCGGGCAGATTAGACCCGGCCAGCTCAGGTGTGTCGGCATCAAACTGGTCGAGCTGAACCTCGATGCAGCTCAGGTTCCACCTGTGCAGCAGCACCTCGATCGACCAGTCGGCGCTGAAACACACGAAGAAGAAGCTGTGAACTCTGTTTGCTCCGCTGCAGCTCTTTGTCATCAGTTGAAGAAGAGATCCGGTATCGAACCCTCAGGCTACGTGTCTGACTTTGTGACACCTCCTTTGGCTCCTTCTTAACCAAAATAGGACTTTTTCAACACAAAACACTAAATAACTGCAACCGAGTGTTTATTTTCATGATTATGTACGATTAGTCCGGTGACTTTATGTTATTTTGCACATTTTAATGAAATATAATTGTATTTACAAAATGGAGTAAAAAGAATAAAAAAGAGTAAATATGGTCATTTTTGTTGGTGTAATGAAGGATGTTCCTGGAGCGCACATTATCATGAATGAGATCACATTTTGGGTGTTAGCGTGTGCTTCGTCTCTCAGAGCTCCTTACGTGACTGTTAAACTACAGAAGGAAAAACTTTTCCACATTAAAGTTTAGCAGCTTCAGTTTTCTTCTTTTTGTATTGAAAAAGATGAAAATGAAAAATGTGATTGTTTACATCAGTGATTCCTGAGCTGCTGCCCCCTGGTGGGCTGTGGAAGAACAAATTATTTAAAATAAATATCTAAATACATTAAAATGATTCAAATGGTAGTTTTAAATTAAAATTATTATAATCATTTTTTAAAGAACAATTTTTAATCTCATGCCACTTTCTGATCACTGAAATCGCACAGACTGGGTCTGAGGCTCGTGTAGTGATCAGAGTGGTGAAGGTTTTCGTCCACAGACTGAAACAGAGGAGCAGTCGTACCTTCGTACTTGGTACGTCGTCCAGAACTCGGCTTTGGGGTTTTTTCTCAGCAGGAAAAAAACGGTCACAAGGACGTCTTCAAAATCTGTAACAGGCAACAACTCGTCATCCTCCATAAACAATGTTTGTACAATCGTTTTACATCCTGGTGGAAATATATTTCACATTTCTAAACGTCCTCAAAGAAAAACAGTCCAGTCAGATACGAGTGTGATTTTAGAGAAGCTGATACAGGAGCAGAGCACTTTATAAACAGTGGAGTAATATTAATAACTGCACTTTGTTCTTCCCTGATAACACAGACGGTCGACTCAGTCCAGGAGGTGACTGAGCTGTTTCACACCTGACTTACAAACACGCCCAGCTTCACTGAAATATCAACCGAACAATTTAAAACTACATAAAAATAATGAAGAAATACCAAACTATGATGTCTACGCTACGTCCAGATGAACAGAATCAACTTTTGGAGACCAAACTATGCAGCTGACCTTTGACCTACATGCAAGTCAACTATAACATTGTCAAAATCAAAAACACATTTTTAGAAAATTTCTATCAATCAGGTTTGAAAGCGTGACGGCGTCTGAATACTTTGTTTTGCTTTCTGACAGGAAAATGTGCTGCGAACCTTCGGGATCGTAGAAGACGTCTGAGCCCAGGATGACGTCCAGCTCGGGGAGCAGGACGAGGTCCGGGGAGATCTCACCCCAGCTGACACCCACCACTGGCACGTCGCTGAGGTCGTTGGCTTCGCAGCTGCGCCTGCAGTTCTCCAAACACGCCGGTCTGTCAGCGGCATCTGACAGGATCACCACGGCACCGCACCGCGCCGCAACCACGCCGGGCAGACTCACGCCTGCGCTGAGCTGAAACAGCGTTAACGCGACTCCTTTAGGCAGCTTTGCAGCTGGTTCGCTTTAAACCACGTGTTTCTCTGATGCTGACGAGAGTGGCTTACACACTACTAATAGTCTCAGGTTTATATTTGGCACCTAAAGTGATTTTACTCATATTAATTAAACCCCTTAAACTAAACTGTCTTCACTGAAATATTAATTTAAGGTTTGTCTTATCAAAATAACCTCGAACCCTCATTCGGTTCCACTGATCTATGTTTGCACATCAAATGACTCCTCAGACGGATCGTTGACAGCTCTGCGATGCTTTGGATCAGTGTAACCTATCTCCACATGTGTGAGTCTGAATGTGTGCTCCTGCTCACCTCCAGCATCTTCTTCCCTCTCAGCTCCTCTCTGTGCATCCACAGATACTGAGCCAGCACCACCGCACACGGCCACACATACATGCCAAACTGCGGGTCGAGGACCTGAGGCACCAAAAGAATTTTGGTTTTGTGGAACAAAATTAACACATGATGGGCTTTAGTCATCTGTTAACTGTTATCCTCTGATATCCGGTTGGCCAGTAATGATAATAAGTTGAGAAAATGAACTAATCAGTTGTTAAAGTGACAGAAAGCTGTAGTCCTAATTGATTCCACATCTAAGAAACTCAAGGCTTTTAGAGTTTCTGGCTTTTCAAATCACAAATGAGTCAATCCAACGTGTGCGCACAGAAACCTGACTTTATGGATTCATTTATTTACCTCCTGCCTTCCACTTACTGTGATATAACTGATGGAGGAAACCAGGAAAATCAGCAATGATGGTCCAGTTTACAAAAATAAATATATTAGGCCGAATAAAACAGAGGACTCGAAGGTATCGTATTAAAACTTATGTATTATTTATGTACCTATGGTTAATTTCAATGAAGCGTGATTCAACAGCACGCCGGTTAAATGGTTATAAATTTTACTTAAACACAAATATGCTTGTGTATTGCCTGTATGCTGTATTAAATCGAGGATTTTAAAATGTGACAATAGTCTCGATTTGTACAAAACTTAAATTTGACAACTTTTAAGGAGCTAACACGTCGATTTCTAAACAGCACAACAACGAATTTAATTTATAATGAAGCATTAGTTTCTCACTCTGAGTGTATTTTCTGTTGCTATACACTCGGTATAATGTTACATTTACAGGTTTGAACAGACCTCGGGTATGGAGACACAGAGGGACTCCCGTGCGTTTTTCCTCTCGTCTTCAAACGTGAACACTTTATAAGCTATGCTCGGCGTTTCGGTTCCACTGTCGGCCATCCTGTAAGCATACACGCTTTTACCTGACCTTGTTACATCTACCTGCCATCAGTCCAGTTCTTTGTTTTTAGGTATAAAACCCATATTTTTATTATCCCTGAAAACCTCATGCCACAGCTAACGCCACATTGGAAACTAGTTCCGCGCAGACCAAAACAGAAAGGAGGGCGTTAAAACAGCCAATGAAAATCACGGGCGGGAAGGTTCACTCGACTGCCCAACCAATTGACACTTACCTTCCGGTAGCTTATGTAGCCAATGAACTACCAGAGGGGCGGTGGCTAATTGCGTAATCAGTTGCGAAAGCATTGTGTCACACAGCTAACAGCTAGCTGCTCCTGTTAGCTGTTTATCAAACTTTATCCGCCCGGCAGGTTTTAAGAGTTCTGTCTCATCCACCATCTCACATCGGAGGACGTGTTTATCACACACCCGGCGGGTGGCTGTGTCGTTTTATCAGAGAAACCCGGAGAAGGTGTAAGAACAGCGCAGTTAGCCGGGTGAGAGCGCAGGCTGTTGGATGTGTTTGTGCGGTATCACCGGGTTAGCTTGACAGCTAGCTGAGCAAAGATAAACACGCCGGGCGGAGGAATGAACCACAAGAGCAAGAAGAGGATCAAAGAGGCGAAACGCAGCGCCAGACCCGAACTGAAGGACTCGCTAGACTGGATAAAACACGGCTACCATGAGACCTTCGACCTGTCGCACCGTACTGTGAAGGTAACTGTTGATGCTAAGCTAACAGTGGCTAACAGGGGAGTGCAGCTTGTCACGTACACAATGTGGGAGACGTCGCCGCTGCTCGCGCCGCCGGCACGTGAGATGTTTGATATGAGCTCCTGTTAATGTCCGTCTGTCTTCATCACACATATAACACCCGAGAGCCAACACGAATGTGGAGGAACAGGCGAAGTAAAAGTACTGATAGCCGGGGGTAGTATCAATAACACATACTTAAGGTGCTGGAAGTACAGCAGGTGTATCACAGAAGCAGACGGTTATATTCTCTTAATAAACTTTGTTAACATTTTATAAAAGTACTTGCGAAGAAAAATCGATCAAAGTTTCGACCAAACTTTATTCATAAAGCACTTTTACAAACTGTAATTCAGACATTTAGTGGCCACTGCAACCGAAAACGATGAAACACAAAACACAGTAAAAGACAATACACTGGTAATGACCTAAAATAACCGTGTTATAATAACGACCCCGTAATATAATGTAAAAAGATTAATACATCAAAGATAAATAGTAAAATATTCATGATACAAAATAGAATGAAGTATATTGGGCACAAATACTCTTTATTTGTTCATCCACAGAAAGTGTTTTCCCTCCATTAAATGTTAAAATTTTAACGATGTGCAGGATTTAAACATGGGAAGGTTTCACAGTTTGATCTCATGAAAAGCAGGAAAACACCAAACTGAGCTGCAGCTGTGTGACGTTCAGGAGTGGCATTACAGCTGTTATAAAAGACATATAATGGTAATATGTAACGCACTCTGTGCTGTGTTTCAGGACAGTGTGGAGCGCGTGGACACCCTCCATCTGACCACAGAGGAGTTCATCGAGCGCTTCGAGCGCCCCTACAAGCCCGTCGTCCTCCTTAACTGTCAGGAGACCTGGCCCGCACGGGAAAAATGGACGCTGGAGCGCTTAAAACGCAAATACCGCAACCAGAAGTTCAAGTGTGGTGAGGATAATGACGGTTACTCAGTGAAGATGAAGATGAAGTACTACGTGGAGTACCTGGAGTCCACCCGTGACGACAGCCCGCTCTACATCTTTGACAGCAGCTATGGTGAACACGCCAAGCGGCAGAAGCTGCTGGAGGACTACGATGTTCCCGTCTTCTTCAGGGACGACCTCTTCCAGTTTGCAGGAGAGAAGCGCAGGCCGCCCTACAGGTGAGTGGTCTTATCTGCTCCGTCTCTATCCAATCAGGAGCACTCGCTCTTCATTTGATCAGCTGATTGGTCAGATCTCTATTGGCTGTAATTTGACCTCTTGATGGATTATTTGATATTTTTGATTTGTTCGGTTTCATTTGGCTTTTGAGCCCTCAGATTTCACCAATATGTCGTCCCAGTACCCACATTAACAGTTTCTCTGAGCTTGTGACGTCTGATTTCATTCGCTTAATTTCCCCCACAGATGGTTTGTGATGGGCCCGGCCCGGTCCGGCACCGGCATCCACATTGACCCGCTGGGCACCAGCGCCTGGAACGCTCTGGTTCAGGGACACAAGCGATGGTGTCTGTTCCCCACCAACACGCCACGGGAGCTGATCAAAGTGACGAGAGAGGACGGCGGCAACCAGCAGGATGAGGCGGTCACCTGGTTCAGCGTGGTTTATCCCCGCACGCAGCAGCCCACCTGGCCCGCAGAGTTCAGACCACTGGAGATCCTGCAGAGACCCGGGGAGACGGTGTTCGTGCCCGGTCAGTGAGGATGTGCTGTGATGGCTTCTATCCGTAGGGATGCTCTTGATTCATTTTTAATTCAGTTTATCCGTCCGTCCATTCTCTTTGGCTTGTCCTTGTCAGGGTCACGGAGGGGGGCTGGAGCCTATCACATCTAACATGGGGTGAAAGGCGGGTACATCCTGGACAGGTCGCCAGTCTGTCGCAGGGCTAATTCAGATTATCAACAAAAACAAAACGCAGAAAATATACAGAAAGATCAGTCAATCCTACAAAGTGGTGTCGGTGTGTTTACATGCTGCTGTTATGCTGTTTAAACCCTCTAACTCCCAACCTGTTAGCCGCCCCTCCCTGAGCCTGGTTCTGCCGGAGGTTTCTTCCTGTTAAAGGGAGTTTTTCCTTCCCACTGTCGCCAAAGTGCTGCTCATAGGGGGTCACATGACTGTTGGGTTTACTCTGAATTATTATAGATACAGTGGGATGCAGAAGTTTGGGCAGCCTTGTTCATAGTCATTATTTTCCTGTATAAATCGTTGGTTGTTACAATAAAACATGTCAGTTAAATATATCATAGAGGAGACACACACAGTGATATTTGAGAAGTGAAATGAAGTTTATTGGATTTACAGAAAGTGTGCAAGAATTGTTTAAACAAAATCAGGCAGCTGCATAAATTTGGGCTCCACAAAAAAAATAAATGAAATCAATATTTAGCAGATCTGCCTTTTGCAGAAATTCCAGCCTCTAAATGCTTCCTGTCGGTTCCACTGAGAGTCTGGATTGTGGTTGAAGGTATTTTGGACGATTCCTCTTTACACAACATCTCTCGTTCATTCAGGTTTGATGGCTTCCGAGCATGAACAGCTCTCTTTGACTCACACCACAGATCTTCAATAATATTCAGGTCTGGGCTGAGATGAACGTTCCAGAACGTTGTACTTGTTCCTCTGCATGAAAGCTTCAGTGGATTTTGAGCAGTGTCTCGGGTCGTTGTCTTGTTGAAAGGTCCAGCCCCGGCGCAGCTTCAGCTTTGTCACTGATTCCTGGACATTGGTCTCCAGAATCTGCTGATACTGAGTGAAATCCATGTGTCCCTGCACTGGCCACACAGCCCCACAGCATGATGGAGCCACCACCATATTTTACTGGAGGCAGCAGGTGTTGTTCTTGGACTGCTGTGTTCTGTTTCCTCCGTGCATAACGCCGCTTGTTATGCCCAAATAACTCAGTTGTAGTTTCATCAGTCCACAGCAGCTTATTCCAGAATGAAGCTGGTTTGTCCAAATGTGCTTCAGCAAACCTCAAGCAGCTCTGTTTGATAAGATAAGATAGAACTTTATTAATCCCTCGGGTGGGTTCCTCTGGGAAATTTGTGCTGTGGGCGGAGCAAAGGCTTCCTCTGCATCACTCTCACATGCAGCATCTCCTTGTGTAAAGTGCACCGAATGTTAGAACGATGCACAGCGACTCCATCTGCTTCAACATGATGTTGCAGGTCTTTGGTGCAGGTCTGTGGGTCGACTCTTCTCACCGTCACTTCTGTCTATCTGAGATGTTTCTTGGTCTGTCACTTCCAGCCTTAACTTGAGCTAAGCCTGTGGTCTTCCATTGTCTCGATATGTTCCTAACTGTAGAGACAGACGGCTTGAATCTCTGAGGCAGCTTTCTGTGTCCTTCCCACCACGATGCTGAACAATCTTTGTCTTCAGGTCATTTGACAGTTGTTCTGAGACCCCCATGTTGCTAGTCTTCAGAGGAAATTAAAAGAGGGAAACTTACAATTGACCCCCTTAAATACTGTTTCTCATTATTGGATTCACCTGTGCATGTAGGTCAGGGGTCACTGAGCTTACCGAGCCAATTTGAGTTCCAATAATCAGTCCTAAAGGTTTGGAATCAATAAAATGACAACAGTGCCCAAACTTATGCACCTGCCTGATTTTGTTTAAACACTTACTGCACACTTTCTGTGAATCCAATAAGCTTCATTTCACTTCTCAAATATCACTGTGTGTCTATGATATATTTAACTGACATGTTTTTATTGTACCAACGATTTATACAGGAAAATAATGACTATGAACAAGGCTGCCCAAACTTTTGCATCCCGCTGTACGATATAAAGCACCTTGAGGTGACTGTTCTTGTGATTTGATGCTTTACAAGTAAAACTGACTCGAACACGTTCAGAGCATCTGATTGGTTTTTGTTTAGCACTTCTGACGTCTCGTCAGGGTTTTGCTTCCTCCATTAAAAAGAATTCGCTTCCATACTGGCTTCATTATTCAATCCATCTTTTAATCTGTATGCATGTGAGTCATGTTTATTCTTATTACAGTTAAATGACCTGTATATGAGTATGTGGGGGTCTTTGTTTTAATTCAGTGTTTTTGTAATGTAGCACCAAATCATAAGAACAGTCAGGTGCTTTACAGGCACAGGTGAAGGACGACAGTAATTCAGAGAAACCCTCACTTTGGTGACCGTGGGAAAGAAAAACTTGTACATGGAACAGTCGCTCAAACAGACACAGCAGATCAAGGTGAATAAAATGTCGTTCATCCACAGCTGTTGTATTTTGCACAGGCACTGGTCGGGCAGCTAAGCTTCGTGTTTTGAGCACTGTCAGCCTTTCAGCTCCATCCAGGAACTCGCATGTGCTGATGACAGTGATGTCACTGACGGTCAGTGACTCTAGGCTGGTGTTCAGTGTTTACAGTGGATGAGTGGGAATGC